CTCCTCCTCCTCCTCCTCCTCCTCCTCCTCCTCCTCCTCTTCTTCTTCTTCCTCTTCCTCTTCCTCTTCTTCTCTTTTCTCCTCTTTCTTCTTCTCTTTCTCCTTTTCCTTCCCATTTCTCTTTCTCCTCCCCTTCTTTTCCTCCATCTCCTTCTCTTTCTTCTCCTCCTCCTCCTTCCCTTCCCTTCCTTTCCCTCTCCCATCTCTCTCTCTCTGCTTAAAGTTGCCACCTCCTGTTTCTGGAGAGGTTCTTTTCCCATCCTGAATATTTGGAGGCATTTTTGAGTTTGTGTGTCTGTGTGTGTGAATGTGTGTGTGTGTGCGTGTGTGCTGCTGACCTTCCCAACCCAAATCTTCCCTGAACCATTCAAGCGCTTGGTGGCCAATTTGAACCTTCCTTTTGCAACTTTGTCTCTCTTGCATCTCATTTTCCCCCCACAGGTCACTCGGTCCCCAGCCTGGATTTCTCCTCCTTGACCTGCCAGCCAGCCAGGAACGCCCAAAGACCCCCGCCCAGCTGGAGAAGGTGGCTGCCTTTGGCGGCGGGAAGCGACCAAATCCGCCGTAAGGAAACTCCTTGGTTCTGCGAGGGATATGCAAACAGAAGAATTCCGCAGACTGAGATCGGCGGGGTGCCCTTGTTTGTGGGTGTTGGGCACCCTCCAACTAGCTTAAAGTGGGGAGATGTCTTCACCCAGTTCAGACCAGGTGGTCCTCAGCTGGTTCAGACCAGTTCGGGCAGACCGGTTGCGGAAGTTTTGACTGGTTCAGAGACCTGGCAAATGCCACCTCTGGTCAACCCCAACCCCTGCCTCCGCCATTATTCTCCTGTATTCCCTTGTTTTTTAGCTCAGATAATTCGTGTGGCAAAACGAGTTGCCGCGACTCAGCTGAGCTAAAAAACAGCTCAGCTTACCAGTGTTGACGGAGGTCCGTCTCTGAGCTCTCCCCGCATGCACAAAGCACGCATTAGGTGCATGCGCAAAGCTCAGCTTACCAGCATTGGCAGAGGTCGGCAAAGCGCAGGTGCATAGAACCGGTAGGACACAATTTGGAGATGTCCCACCCTTTTGTCATTCAAAAACGACCCCTTTTATCATCCTATAAACCAGCCGCTTCCCCCACAATCTTCTGGGCACCAGTTTTTTTTTCATGGACCATCGGGTACGTGGTTTCATGCTTTTGAATGGGGTGGGAGTCAATGGGCACCGAACGAAGAAAGTCCATTCAACAAGAATGATGGTTTGACTCTCGTAATGGAAACTTGCAAACCTGAGACCGTGTCCATCTCCCTCCCCACCCCAATTATACTTGTGTGGATTAGGGAGGTTTATTTTGGTTTTGTCAAACAAAATCTTGCAGGACTGGTTGCGCTCCCACCCCACGTATACTTCTGTGAATTAGGGAGGTGTCCATGAAGCATGTATGCCTTGTTTTGGATTTAAGCCGTGCCTTTTCCCCTTGTTTCTTTGGTAATTACTTCAATATGCCAAGCTGGCACATCGTCAGGTTGTCGATTGCCTCTCTTCCTCTCCCCACAGGTGAAGAGCCCCCTTTCCCAGAGCCCATGGAAGGACCCTGCAGCCTGGAGCCGGATAAGGCTGAGGAGCACCTGGACACAACGAGCAACGTGGAGGGTATGAGTGGCAGAGAATCAGGGCAATATTTCAACGTATCCTGTCTTCCTTCTCCAGCCAGTGTTCTCCAGATCTGTGGGGACAGCGAACAGTGGTGGCATTGTACTGGTTCGCCCCGGTTCGCCTGAACCGGTAGCTCCAAGGATCATCTGGAAGTGAACCAGTTCACTTTGACGATCAGCCGCTCGGCCTGCCCCACCACTCGCCAGGGCTCTATATTGACCTTTTCTCAACTAAAAAAAAATACTCCTTTGGTCCTTTTAGTTGCCAGCAGAAAGGGAGTGGGAGAAAGCAGTGCATTCCTTAAATGCCTCAGATAATCGCCTTGGCAGCCGAAGCTTCTGGCACGCAAGATTATTACTGGAGAGCATGATGGATGGCTCTTGGCTATGGATGTGTCCCACTGGAGAATATACGTCCAGGGGGTGGAGGAAGACCAGGGTCAAGGGGGAAATGAAGGATGTATTTCAGTGCCAGCTAACGCTACTCCTAGTAAATCATTTTTTTTTACTTTGAGAGATGCGGCTAGAGACTTATGATTGGAAGCGGGGTGGATTTGTTGGAGCCCTGACACCTTTATTTTCTGCTTTTGAAGCTCAGCTGCTTCGTGTGGCACAGCAGATTGCCGCGTGTCAGCTGTTGAACAAACAGAGTGCGGGATTGGCCACCAAGCCATGCCCACCGAAACGTTGGTAAAACAATTTGAATCCCACCACTGGACACGAATGCCCAGAAGCCTTGGATGAGGCTTCTGGGCATTGTAGTTATCAGGATTCCAGCAATCGCTGTAATTAAATCATGATTCTTGAGCCAAACTTCAAAAAACTGCAAAGGATTCATTGGAGGCGACATACTGGCACTGCCTTGTAAGAAGCCAACTCTGGCATGTGTAATTTCCAGTTCCCTGTGATACTGTTTCCCCCCCTCCCTCCTGGGGGGTCTCATCAACCAAATTCTTCAATTGAGCCCGTTCACAGGCTGGGTGTCATCATTCACATTCTCCAATTAAATACATTCACGGGCAAAAGCTCTGGTAGTTTAGTTACAGTCTTTTAAAGAGAAGAGGTGGAATGTACTTTCGATTCCAAACTGCTGCACCGCTCTTCCAAATTTCCTTCCTCCCTCCCCACCCTTTTGTATGGCAACTACTAGAAAAGGCACAGGGATGTTTTATGAGTTGACAGTAGTCACAGCCCAGTTGGAGGGGACCCCATTGGAGAGTTACGGATTACGGGCGAGGTCATTTTCTCTGTAAATTGGGCTCGGAACTGGCCGCATTGGGGCGGTGTTCTATTTCTCACCTGTTCTGGCCTTTCTCTAAAGTCTCTCTTCTCCACGCAGGTAAGGATCAAAGCAGCCACCACCTCTGCGCGCTCATGAAGCTGGTAAATGAAATCCCAGAGTTCCTTTGCAGACCCGCACACACGAGCCTGGATCGATCCACGCCTGCTGGGGGCAGCGAGAGCAGAGGGCATGGTGAGTGCACTGTCTGCATGGCTGAGCAGATTTGGATAAGTTGAAGCCAGAGGTTCCCCAACTCCTGGGCCGTGGTCTGTTCGGATCTGGTCCGCACGAGCTGCTGGCCATATACTTGCAAAACTTGCATGCTGTGGAAGTGGCTGATGAGGAAGAGGAGGAACAGCTGGGCCCAGTGCCTGACGTGTGGATGTGCCGAAAGCAGAGGAGAGGAGAGCAGTGGAAATCTATGGGCCGGTCCTTGGGACGGAAGAGCCACTGGTGCTAGCGAAGGCCCACCTGAGCTCTGGGGATAAAAGGCAGGGGGCGGAGATGAATATAGATATGGCAGACAACTATTCCATCTCCCAGTCGGACAAACTTGTTAGCCTTTCTGCCATGGCTGCTGTCGCTCCCAATAAAGGAATCATCAGTTGACCCAACTTCAGAGGGTTTGTCGTATTTAGGGAGCTGGGTGAGAACAGGTGCAAAGCAGAATTTACCAAGGCCCGGGAAATGTAGGCTGAAGCCAAACGAATGTCTCCAGCAGAGACACCCCCCCCCACCGCCGTCTCTGATTCAATCGGCTCCACTCAGGTGTGAGGAGGAACGGAGCGGCCTCCTCGCCGGCAACCTTGCCGATCTCTGAGCTTGCCTCCGCTCCGCTCTCCATGCCCTCAGATCGACCGGGGGAGGAGGCAGCTGTTCTTGGTCAGAGGGAGGTCTGCTGCCCCTCATCCCCACTGCCCGCCGGCAGCCAATCCTCCCCCGTGTTTGGGAAGGCAGGCAGCTCCCCGTCTGGCTAACCAACTCCGCCGTGTCGGAGAGGCCCAGGACGGCTTCGTCCTCGGCCCAGGGACTCTCCGAGACACGGCTATCCCTGTCAGGTGGTCCTGGTTTGAACGCCTCCCCCTCTTCCTTGTTCGACTCGGGGTCCGATGGAGTCATTTCCTCTTCAGTCTCCTTCCCCCAATCTCCCAGAGTTGGGAGCCCCCTGCCACACACACAGTTGTGAAGACCCCCCCACTTCCCAGATTTCTCTTACGTCTTGCAGTTAAACCTTGTGACGGTTGCGGGAATTTCTGAGCTTCTGACCTTTCTTTCCAGCAAGTGCCGTCGTCCAGCTGAAGAGTTCCCCATCCTTCCGGCGCCTTGAACCCTTGGCCGACTTGGTTTCCCTGAACGTCTCCAGCCCAGCGGGGACCCCCAGTAACAGCCCTGAGGGAGAAGGGTCAGAGCCCACCTCCCAAGGCACATTTGCCCCCTGCAGTACTCAAGGATGGAAGGGGACAGGTGGGTCCATCGCTGGTGGTCCTCAACTTATGGTCATTCATTTAGTGACCATCTTCGGACACCCTCCCCCAAAGAGCAACTGACAACCATTTCTCACCCGTAGGACCGTTGCATCAAGCCCAACAGCCACAAGATCCAAAATTCAGATGCTTGGAGACGGACTCCTACTTATGACGGGGTCACATGATGCCGTTCTGCGACTGTCGGGCCATCAAAGTCAGCCGATTCACTTAATGACCGTGTTTACTCTTTGAACCCCTGCAGCAATTCGCTTAAAGAACTGCGGCAAGACAGGTCATAATGTGAAGCAAAAAAACATCACTCCAGTGTTTCACTTAGCGACCTAAATTTGGGGCTCAATCGTGGTTGTAAGTCGAGGATTACCTGTACAAGAGTCATACACGCCATTTTATTTCACGGTATAAGGGGAAGGGCGGGGTGTAGTCCCTTGCTTCATTGACACAGAAATTGAGCTACAGAAATGTTAGGCTCAGTGAAAGCAGGCCGACCGAGGGGGAGGGGTGCGTGTCCCTGGCTACCAAATTACAGAATTGGAAGGGACCTCGGAGGTCATCTAGTCCAACCCCCTGCTCCAGCAGGAGAATCCTATGCCCATTTCAGGCAAACGGTCTGCCCAATCTCATCTTCAAACGCCTCCACCTGCAACGTCCCACTGAGCCATTTGTCTTGAATTAAAAGAATAGCGGCATCGGAAGGGACCCTAGAGGTCTTCTAGTCCAACCCCCTGCCTAAACAGGACCCTCCCCCCCCCCCCCTCCCCAAACAAAGGGGGGGCCGGTTCTTTTTTGGGGCTTCCGGGGTTGGAGCAACAGCCACGACGTCTCGTGGCAAGCAGTTCCACTGGTTGGTTTCCATCCGTTGCTTCTTCTCCTGCCTTCGGGGGATTTGGAGAATAGGGGGATCCCCTACATCCTTTGGGGCAGCCCCCCCAAATACTGGAAAACTGCTATCATGTCACCCTAGCCCTTCTTTTCTCTACAGCAGGGGTCAGCAACCTTAAACATTCAAAGAGCCACAAAAGTGCTATCCAGAAGCCCCCTGTTAAGTTCTGGAGGTGACCGGAAGTCCGGTTCCCTCACCATAGAGTCTCCTCCTAGTGTGGCGTCCTTTTTCCTCTGCTGAC